CTCCATGAATATCGGCACCTGCAGAACTTTGCCGACGGCTGAATTTTCGCGATCAAATTTCACGATCGCCGTGACGTTGATGCAACCGTTTTTGTATATCTGATCTAAAGAGTATTCGCGGCATCGTGAGTAGAGCCTGTAAACGTAGTGTTCTGCGCAGCGACAAGATACCTCTTATGTAGTCGATCTTGATCATTCGTTTGTAAGGAGATTCAGAGCTCTGATACATGATGAATGGAGGTCCGTTGTCCGGTCCGTCCGGGTCATATGCGCATACAATGCCGAGGAACTGCGGCGGATTCACGTTTTCCCATGCTACTAGGTCGCGTGTGATGTTCAAGTACGGCGCATTATCATTGACGTCGTCAATATTGATGATAAGTGTTGTCTGCGCAACATTGCCAACTGAAACGATCAATCATTCAATCAATTTAGTGAAAATAGAAAAATTTCATAAAACTAAAAGCATATTTTGAAAACGAAACGTTCAACCTCAATTTCAGAAAACGCTATAAGACATAAAAACAACACTCATGTAAAGACAATACTAAAACAAATGGCAAAAACGGTCTTTGAACAGTGAGGACGATCGAAAAAACTAAGTTATCCTGAACTCCAAAAGACAGTGCATCACTAGGATCACTGACGGTTGTACAGCACTCAGGGGGAATGCTTAAATGCGAAGTAAGAGATGCCATGCCGTCCGGCCATTTTGCTACCATGACACGGTTAGAAAAGAAAAAAGGAAAAAAGAAAAACAGGGACAGAAATGTTTGTAGTACACTTCACCAACTCTGAAGGCCAGAAATCCGAGATGCGGTGGATTAATACAATTTCGACTACCTGTTTTCATCAGCAGGCGCAGAGACTCGTTTAGGCGAGTAACGACCAGCAGGCCTACAGTACAAACAAATTCGTCGTCTGCGACAAAACAGAGCATGAAGGGTAGTGCAGCGTTGCCCAAAGTTAAGGTCCGTGAGTCACGAGCTCGGAGATTAGCGTAGCGCCAATTTTGGGAAAGCGGACTGAAGGCTGCTTGAGATCTATCACTCTCGCTTTGTTGCAGATCTCTTGGCTCTGAATGACAGTTGTCCGACAAAGATTGAGCGTCTGAAGCGATGCATCCCCCACTGAAGGAAATCACTGTTCTTGGCAGTGCTCTGAGTTGAAATGACGATATTTAAAACAGACGAACGCAGTCCACCGGACAGTTCAACTGGAAGGTCGATCGATGTCAGTCGACAGACTTATTAACAGTCAGGGTGGAATGACGAAAACCTTTTTGCTGTCCACGTGTGAAGCAACCTCCCGGATGCTGTCAAATCGGCGAAACAGCAATGCTCAACCCAACGGACCTATTCAGGACCCCCTGAACAAAACCCTCTCCTAAAGGGCATATCAGACCCTGCCCTAAAAACAAACGGCCCTCCTCAACGCCAATCAAAACAAAAGCCAGGCAACCCTCCTCAGGGCCAAGGAACTCGAGGCGAATTATCGCATATACCAACTCAATACTGCGAGCATACCACACGCAAAACGCAATTATTTCTCACGAAAATTCAAAGATCACATCATCGACGCCGTTGCATTACAAGAAACGCACACTGACGACGAAGCGAAGCTAAAGCACAACGTTGCACGATCAGTGGCCAAAACCTCACAGCGCAGCACATCATCCGAAACATGGAATCGCTACCTTCGCCTAGCGAGACCAACAGGATGTCGCTGAAGAAAATATGAATGGCATCAGCGCAAAAAATGTTAATATGTAAAGGTCGGAAAAATCACCATCACGAACATATGCAAGCCGCCAACGCAGAACTGGTCAACACCAGCGATGCCGCAATCAAACCAACCCACAGCACATGTTGGAGACTTAAATGACCACCGTATTCAGTAAGGCTACCGAGAGAAAATCAGCACGGAAGAAAAACTGGCAATGGGCATCTACTGAATACTGCCATTTCCTTTTCGACTCGGAGTAGCACGGAACATTTCGACCCAGACGCTGCAAAGCAGACTCTAACCCTGGCCTCTGTTCTATCTCCACTGACAACAACAAAACACTGACTTCGGCCAGTCGGATAATTCTGAACCACCTCCAAAGAAACCAGCACAGA